AGCTTGTAACACTCCAAAGAGAAAGGAAAACTTGAAATCGCATCATATGACCCCTTTAATAATGTGGCTCTAATTAACTATTAATTAACTCTTAGGATAGGAGGAACCTGTGCCTGTGTCACACACACGAGAAAGAGAGAGAGATCACACTCACACACAAATGCACATGCAGCACATACTAGCAACACTTAAGCATACTTTAAATTCACAAATAATTGTATATCAAAAAGGATTTACTGCTGCTACTATTTATAGTTTTTGCTATATATTCTATTCCCTTTTTTGCTATTATTACTTGTTTGTATTCATGTGTATTCCAATGTTGAGAGCAGTCAGTGAGAAAATATTTTGCTGTAATGTTTAAGTCCTATACTGTGTTCATTAACTAGGATGTTGCTGGAATCAGTACAGCCAGAGACCCCTGGTCTTTCAACACCAGTGCTGTGAGGAAGGATGCTACAGTAGGCCAAGCAGAGACAGGGAGGAGTGTGGTAGAGGTAGGTAAAACCCAACAGACAGACAGTGACGACAAAGAACAACATACTGTAGAGAATGACAGTAACAGCAGACGAATGGCATAAACAGACAGCACACAGACTCTACAACATCCTCAGATTCTTTTTCTTTTGTTTTTACTGTATGTGTACATTTGTTATAAACGTGTGCTCTTTAAAAAGTAGTAAGCATTTTTTGCCAGACACATACATTAAATGTATAAATATCTGTTACATATATGGTACTGCTTATATTATTTCACCATCTGTACACAAATGTAAGTTGTGAATGCGTGTGTCCATGGGTGGGGCTGTGTCGGTGTGGTAATGTGGGCCGGTGTGGCTACAGTGCCAGGGCTGAATTTTTGTCCCAGTCCGCCCCTGCCTTAAGCAATGTAATAAAAATACAGCAATACATGCCTGTACCAATGTAATAAAAACATGGCATACCGAATGCGTGTTTTAGCGCCACTCACTGAATATTTCACGTTGAAACGACTGCGAAACATTCAGTAAGGTACGTAATATCGGTGTTGAATAAACATCACCACAAGCACATATCTTCAATGAGCCTGGTTTGAATAAGAAACATGACTTTCATGGTTTAATATGTGCTCTGAATCACCGACTTGGAATAAATGAATCGCAAAGGTTTTGAAATTTCACAAAGAAGTGTTTGGAAAATGCCCATCACTACATTTAGCCCCAAGACTCCAAATTTATTTGGTGCAACTCACAATCTTCATGCCTCCATCCTCTGCAAACTCTAAGCTTTTCAGGTTCATGGGAGGCAAACTGTATCTGCAGTGGGCTGAATTGGCTGGCAGGCTTTTCTTAGAGGGCAGCCTGGAGATTTTTCCTCTAAAAGAAGCGATAGTCTCTTCGGTAATGGCAACTGCAGCTCCTTGGCTTGATGTGAAAACCACAGTGCTCTCTTAACGCTGCGCTGGAAAGTTCTGACGGTTCCAGCTTCCAGCAGTGCCTGGGCTCATTATCGCAACCGTACTGCTGCGCTCAGGGCCCAAAGATCGCCTCCATCAGGCAACCTCTGTTTGACATTACCACTCATTCGTTCAGCACGTGGCGCGAGTGCACCAACTCACCGCCACATCAATACCTAGAGACCGAACATGCGACGTAGTGGAAAACCATTTTAAATCGCACGCATTCAGAAGGAATGCAGTGGCAGAGCTTTGCATTAAATGACAGCCCCACAAGCTGAGAATGAACACCAGAATGTATTCAGTGTGTTTGACAGAGAAAGCGGGGAAGAATCTATCAACTCACGCGCACTTCATCTCGCTCCGACTAATATTACGCTGTCACTTTGACTCGTGTACGCGTGCGGGTGTACGCGTGGGCCGGGTGCAATTCTCCAGTGCTGCAGAGGAGGGAAAAAAAAAGGTAGGACATGGGAGTAAACACAATCAGGCATCCCTCCAGGCTCTGCTTTAGACCAATTGAATGTTTCATTATTAAAATAGGCTTTGTGCATTTACAGCTGATGCCAGCACTAACCTGATTTATTTAGTCATAATTCTGCACATCAGATATGATCACAGAGTGCTTTCGTCTGGCATATGACTCATTTCATATGCATTGGAAGATGCAGAAAAGGCAATATCTGATTTGTTTCACTTTGTTGTCAGGACGAGCAGTTTTGCACATCCTATATGGGAAGAGTGCAGAAGACCAAACATCAGAACCCCATAGAAATATACTATTTGAGACAAACTAAAAAAAGTATGTATTCTTACATTGCCTAGAGGACTATGGTGTGTTCCATTCTGCAGCTTATTTTGGCCAAGAGCTGCCCATTTAGACAGGAAAGAGCTGTCTGACTGATGTTAAATGACCAACCGCAGTATATTTTTCTGTATGATATATAGGGGCAGATAAATGTGCATTTGGACATAACTAAGAGCAGAATAGACAGTTGTGTCCAAGTATATCTCATTTATTTGTTACTAACAGGGTTCCACACGACCAATAATACGACAGATGAATTTTAGTGTAGTGTTCATTAATACCAGATAAGGATCTAAAAATAGAGATAGCAATTAAAAAGGC